ACAGAAAATGAATAAAGAAAATATGGTACTGTATACACAATGGACTATGAGCTATAAAGAATGAAATCATGTCATTTTCAGGAAAGTAGATGAAATTGGAGATCATCATGTCAAGCAAAATAAGCCAGACTCAAATACCACATGTTTTTCTTATAGATGGAATCTTAAACAAAATGACAGGAAAGTATAAAGACTGTTGAGAACAGGAAGGGGATTAGGTGGAAGGGAGGAGGAGGATAATTGGGAAGGGTGAAAATACTAAAAATATATGCATGTACAAATATGCCAAAATGAAACCCACTGTTTTGTATAATATGACTTAGTGACATAAAAAATTTTTTAAAAGAAGTACCTTTTATAAACATTCCGAGTTTAGGAAGTTATACATATAAATTCTTGTAGAAGTTTAAGGGACAGATGGACATTTCCAGTACATAGGGAAATATGGAAATCTGGAATATGGAAAATCACTGCAATGATAATTCATTTGATAAAATAACACCATAATCCTGATGCTAGTATCTAGTGACATTTTTTTACAAATGCATATTAAAACAAGAGATAGCTCTTTTCTTTTTAAATTGATCTGGGTGGAGGAAAATACCAAGTGGTTGGCAAGGGTTTAGGGAATGAGAAATTCTCATCTACAGTGAGAGTATAAGTTGGTATAATCTTTGGTAATGAGGTTTGTATTTAGGGGTATTCTTTGCAGTGCTATTTGTGATGCAACTACTTCAATGTCTTTAACACAGGAGACTGATTAAATAAATCATGATAATAGCTACAATGGGATACTATGCAGTCATTAAAAAAAAGTACCCAGATGTCTATATGCTGAAATGAAAAGATTTCAAGGTACATTAAGTAAAAATAACAAATTGTAGAGCATAATAGTTTGAGTTTGTCAGGTATCGAGGCCTACAGGAGAGACCATTTCCATGGAAAGAGAGATAAAGTGGTAATGGGGAGATAAAGTAGACAGAGTAAGGTGTTACTGTACTTTTCATTTGACTTCCATCTATACTGTTTGAATATTTTTTGTTAGGTGCAAGTCTTACTGGTACATTATTAGTTTTTAAATGCAACATTTTTTCAAAGTTGTATAGGCACATAGCTTAGAGTCAACAAATGCTACACAACTTGTAAAAAGTAGCAACATGCTGTGCAGGCCCCACATTTGCTTCCCACTCCCCAGAGGCACTATTTTCAGCGACTTCTGCTATTTCCCTTTTCCTTTTCCCCTTTCCCTCTCCCTTCTCTTCTCAGTCCTCCTGCCTTAGTCTCCCAAAGTGCTGACATTACAGATATGTGCTACCATGTCCGCTATTTACCTATTTTTTAAAAACATGTTAACCGTATATTTCTAAATAACATGTGTATGCTGCTATTGCTTGATTTGGTTGTTTTAAATAGGCATCTATTGCCTACTGGTGAAGTTAAGGATTTAGATCTTAACACCCCATTTTCTTCATCTCATTTAACTTTTCAGGTGTCTTTTTTGTTGTTGTTGAGACCGAGTCTCCCTGTTTTTCCCAGGCTGGTCTTGAACTCTTGGCTTGACTGATCCTCCCGCCTCTCAGCCTTCAAGTAGCTGGGGGTACAGGTGTGCACAGCCATGTCCAGCTGTTTGGCATTTCATACTTGCCCTTTTGATTTCTTCATTTGGATTCTGGGGCATCACTCTCTTGCTCCTCCTTTCTAAATCCTTTGGCTCTTTCTCTGTCTTTGTTGATTCCTTCTCCTGGAGGTTATAGCTCCCTTTCCAGCTTGTCTCTGGACACTTTCTACTTCCTGTCTGCCTTACCCCTCTGCTATACCTTTCTGCCTTGGAGCCAGCCAGTTATGGCCTGAAACAGGAGCCAAAAGTAACCTTTCCTCCTTTAAGTCGTGGGTGTTTGGTATTGTGACTCAGCGATGAGAAAAGTGACTAAAATTTTCAATCAGCCATCTAATTTCCCACCAGTGGCTTAGGGTTCAGCTCCTCTGGTCTCCTAAGCCAGATTCATCGCTTTTCCCAGCCTCCCAAGTTTTGTTTTTGGCCATCTGTCTCATAGTTTTTGTTCTTGAGTGCTTTTGTCTTAAAAAATTTCTTTTGGGCAGGGGATTTAGCTCAGTGGTTCCGCCACCTGCCTTGCAAGCACAAGGTCCTGAGTTTGATCCCTGGTACCAAAAAAAAATTCTTTTGCTTTAGTATATTTTGAGATGGAATAGAGTTAAGCATGTGCATAAAATCTGCCATCTAGGCCGAAATTTATGTCTTTTTTGGTAATAAAATTATTCAAAATTATTTTTGTAATAAAATTCAAAACTTAATCTTTCTCATTAATAATAAAATATAAATATAACAACAAAGATCTTATGAGACAGCCACATGATTTTTAGAAGAATACTGCTAAGATTTACTGAGGGATGTAAAGTGGGACTCCTTCCTGGGCGGGAAGATCATATATGATTGCAGTTTCCATCAACTGCTTAATAGGTTTAAGGTAATTGAGATTTAAAAGATCACAGTGAGTGTTTCCTCTGAACTTGGCAAACTTATTCTAATGTTTCTGTGAAAGGATAGGATGGTAACAATAAACAAAGTTTTTGAGGGAAGAGTAATGTCGTTGAGATGGAAATAGTCTCATCAGCCATTGAAACATGTGATGAAGTTACAATCATAAAGCAGTCTGGTCCTGATAGAAGAGAAGGCAGATTAGTGAAACAGAATAGACCCAACAGAAATGAATGCTGTACTTCAAATGAATCTACAAATTAGGCCTACTGCTGGGAATGGAGCTCAGTAGCAAAGTACTTGCCTACCATGTGTGATTTGAGTCTCAGCACTGCAAAAAGAAAAAAGGGGGAGATATTGAGAAGAGAAAAAATATTCAATTAGTGGGTTGGGATTGATTAGTTGCTTGCCATAAATACCAATTTTTTGTGTCTTTTATGCCATATACTAAAATAAATTTTCACTACTAAACAGATGCTTATTGTGAAAAGAAATCAAATCATACAAAAATTAGGAAAACATTTTAAATTTAAAAATTTTTTTTAGTCATTAGTGGGAGATGAAATTTTTTCTTAGAAACAAGAAATCTTACAAAGGAAAATATTATTAGAATTAATTGGAAAAATAAAATTACATAAGGCAAATCAGCAAGCTAAGCACAAACTTAGTTATATTTGCTGTATTTCTTTAGTTAGGGATATCTTTGCTTGCTGGTCCTTCAGTTAGATTTTTAAAATTTCTTTGGTTTTTTAAATTAAAGGTGTGAATATCCAATTAAGTTAATTAATTTTAAAATGAATTGATGAAAAAACTCATGGTAGGGTTGAGGGTATAGTTCGGTAATAGAAACACTTGCCTACCATGCCTGAGGACTTGGGTTCAATTCATAGTCCTGCAAAAATAAATGCAAACACAAAACCAAAACCTTTATAGTAAATGCGACAGAAGCAAAGAAAGGAGAAAAGCAAAGAGGAATTAGAAACAGGAAGAGGTTGACTGAGAAAAGCCAAAATCTTTCAGAAAAGGCCATTTAAGGAAATAAGTGGACCCTCCAGCTACAACCAGCCTGATAATTGGATAACTTTGGTTATGACCAGAGTTTTAGTTTTAACTTACAACCAAAGTCTTGAGTTATGACCCGAACGCCAGCCACTTGTGGTTCCAGGTGGTCTCAAAAATAGATTTAACCATTAAAGAGTTCTGGAAGGAACATTACAACATTCTTTCCTGTGTGTGGTTAACTGAGAAATCCTGGGCCAGTGTCTCTCTAAGGACACTGAGATCTACCTGTGAACAGGAGAGAGACTTTGAAGGCTGTGTAGAGGAGCGTGAGCCTTCAGTTGACCAACTTGCACTACAACCAGCCCTTACGAACAAAATGAATTTGTAAGTCAAGGGTCCATTGTATGTAGGAGGCACTGGAAATTGAAATCCAAGGTGTGTAATTCAGGCTGTGGGGCCAGGCTCCCTTTGCACTGCAACCCACACAATGGTTAAATCAGGGCAGTGATTCACAGAGAAAGGCAGTGTCTGTCCTGGTAGAGAGGACATTGGTGACATTGGTGAGAACTGCCAAAGCAAATGATCATTAAAGGCAAACCCACTTAGCCCACTTAGTTGATTATCAAATTTAAAAAAATTTTCTGCCAACAATGCATGACATATTGCCTCCATCTGAGACACACCCCCAGCCCCATCACTGACTGCTCTGTAGACAGATAAACTGAAGTCCTAATGCCACAGCCCTGCAGAGTGCTATGGAGGGGGGTCTGTTAATGCTGTGGTCCTATTATTAGGTCATCAAGTAGACCAACTCGGTAGTGAGGCCGTGGTAAGAGAAAGCTCTGCAGTTACAGTGTCCCTCTCCAGTCCCATCTGCCCTACTATCATGGTGGCTCAGGTGCTTAGGCCATGCTGGCCTCAGTCTAACTGTGTGGTTTGGGGAACAGAGTGGGAGAGGAAGTGGGGAGGATGGGAAACCAGGTGATGGGGCTTACCTGGGGCCTGGAGGGGCACCGAGGTCATTAACTGGGCACCTACTGTATATGCTGGGCTAACCTCAGGGGGGAAATGGAAACAAAGGTGCTGCCCCACGCTGGGGGCTCACTGAGCCCAGACACAGGACACAGGGAAGGAAGCCATAGACAAGTCACGGCTGCCTGGAAGTGAGGGGTGAGGCAAAGGAGCCAAGGGCCGGATTGTTGGAAGAGGGAAGATAACTGGGGAGTCCCTCAGGTGCTGCAGCCTTGGGGGTGTGGTTAGGACTGGATCTGAGCAGACTGCAAGAAATGAAGTCAGGGAACACAGCTCAGGTTTGGGGATGATTATAGGGAAGAGGAAAGGTAAAATAAGCAGTGGATCCAGAAGGGGAGAGGAGTCTTAGAGAAGGGTCACAAGGTGTGGTGCCTGAGGCGACACCCAAGGGATTATGACACCAGAGGTTGCAGGAGAAAGGTTGAAGCCACTGTAGGAGACACAGGAGCTTGGCCTGGGGTGGGCTCACCAGGGCTGATGGTGAGTATGGTCCCCTTGATGGACTGCCACATCTCTGTGGATTTACTCTGCGTGTTCAGCTGGACTCGGAAGAAGTACACGGACTGATCCTCCGCCCGAAGGTTCTGGATTCTGAGGGAGCCAGAAGTCTGATTTTGTTTCCAGTTTAGGGTGAGCCGGTTCATGAAATCCTCATGGATATAAAGTGGGCTTGTATTATAGAAAAATTCTCCATGGAAGTGGTTCCGTCTCCAGAACAGCCTCACTTGGGGATCCTTGGCCAACTTCCAGGAGTAACAGAAGTGGAAGGGGATTTCAATGGAGCCACCGATGGAAGCAGAGAGTTTTTGTGGTTGATAGACCTCATAGAGGGATCCTTTGCTGCATCCTGCGGAGTTACCTGGAAGAGGTGGGGAGAGTGGTTGAAGCCACTGTGGGAGACAGAGGACACCTCACAACTCCCAGCACCTTCATCCACAGGAGTCGTGTGACAGATAGCAGGACTGTCCCTCTGGCCTGGAGCCCCCTTCTCCAGGCATGAAGGAGGACAGTGGTAAGGGTCGGAGTAGAGCCATCTGTGAAGCGGCCCTCTGTCAAGGGTGGGTGGTCTGGTTGACTCCTTCCATGGTCTCCTCTTCAGTTCCCACTCACTCACTGCCCCTGTTCCCATTGACCCCTCCTGGGTTTTGGTCAGAGGCCCTACGAGGGCCGTCCCTGTTACTCACCAACTTGCAGGGGCACCGATGGCAGTGAAAGCAGCAGCAGGACCCAGACTATGGCCTGTTCTCCTCCAAGGTGTGAGACAAGCAGAGCCATCAGGGCAGGACAGGCTCTCAGGAGAGGGAGAGCTGGGTAGAGTAGTCCAGAGACCCAGGGGCAGCTCCTTCAGAGGGCTAGGGAGGCAACCTCTGGTCTCCACCCCCGGGGCCAGCACTTCCCATACCCATCTAACTTCTCCTTTACCTATGTTGCACAGGGCCTCCTTGTGGACAATGTCAAGGTAGCTCTGTCCTCTGTCCCCAGCCTTGGTCTTCTGCTGGGAGGCCTTGACCTGACCTTGGCCTCCTGGGCCTCCCCACCCACCTGACAACCCGCCTTACCCACTCCCTCTCGGGTCCTGTGCAGCTGTCTCTCTCTCAGACTCTTTATCTCTTTTTGTATTTAGCTCCCTCCTTCACTCCTGCCCTCCCCACCTCATTCTGTTGCTGCCTCTCTTCCCTTTGCTTCTCTGAGTGTCTCCCAGTTCACCTCTCTCTCAAAGCAGGGAAGGGGCTGCCCACCCACCACAGGCCGTGTCAGGGAGGAAAGGTTGCCATTGAGCCTCCTCCCAGCTGTGCCCCAGACTCAGCTTTGGAGAGAATGAAGAGTGTGAGAGTGGTGGTCGCCCTCCCTGAGTCGCCAGCCCTAGCCCTGGGCCTCCCAGGCCTGCTTTTTCTCCTCTCTCTGCAAGGCAAGGTGTCTCCAGGCCACAGCAAGGCCTGGTGGCTCATTCTGCCCCTGGCCTGATCCCTTGGTCCTGAGTCCCTATCATCCCTGGGGTCAGAGGAGACTGTCCCATTCACCTAGGAGTGACACCCTAGATATGCCTGCGTCTGCAGGGTGCTCTCTGCCCTCCCACCCTAGAGAGGAGGAGACCAAGGCTCACAGCAGCTTTGATCCAGGTGACATGACTGTCACAGGTTGTGTCCGGGACTGGACCTCATTCCCATGAAGTCTACAAAGCCTTCCTCTGGACCTGAACCCTTCATCCTGGCTGCCTGGCTCCCACCTTTGCAATGCCACAGGTCAGGTGGTGATTGGGACCCAGGAGCCCGGATTTTCATAAGTCTCCTTGGATGTATCTCTCATAGCTCTGAGTCCCCTGCCCAGTCTAAATCTTCCTTGATCACAGGGACAATATGAGTCTCCTGCTACCCAGGCCCTAGGACCTCTCTAGAAGAGGACACTGCCAGCCTGTGACCAGGGGTTGCGGGCTGACAGATTTCGGGCAGAGGCTTTGGTGACACACAGGGCTGCTCTGCCTCAGGCTCTGCCCACTCCTCCCCAGGATGAGTTGGGCACCAGCTGACTGAGGAGACCGTGGGAGCAGGAAGACATGATTGCACCACAGGAAGTTGTATCACTCTCCTTGAGAGGCTGGCAGAGGTCACTTCTCTTTTTCTTCAATTTCTCCCCAATCCCAACAGCCTCTTCCTCACTTCCCCAGGCAGCTGGAAAGCCCCTTTCGCCTCCTACAAACTCTTTCATCAATCGGGAACTTCTCTCATGTGGAGACTTCCACTTGAATTACCTCTTCCCCTAGCCATTCTTGGATCTCATTTCCTAACCCCCTGCATGCTCTGCAGGCTTTCCATCCATGGGAATCCTCATCCCATCGCCTATCTTTTCCTACTCCCATCCCTGGCTTCCCAAGCCCCTCTTTCCTTGTTTTGCAACCCTTCCTCTTACTGGTCTCCTTCTCAGACTTCTTCTTTATCCAGCCCCCTCATCTGATGGTCCTGGGATTTCATCAATCAGCACAGTTTCCACAGTGTATGTCTGCCCAGAGCTAGGGTGGGGACTCTGGTCCTCAGACAAGAAAGACAGTAGACAAGTAGCCCGGAGTTCTTGCAATTGCCTTTTTCTGCTCCATAAAATGCACATTCTGATCTATCTAAACCTGAAGTTTCCCAGGTTGGACTTATTCTGTGCAATGCACCTGCCTTGGACTCCCAGAGTGATGGGATTCCAGGTGGGGCCACTGTGCCCAGCTTATTTTAATCCTTTTAAGGGGGAGGCTTGATTGGCATGGAGGACAGACATGAGGAAATAATGTCAGAGAAGTGTTCTGAGGAATGGGTCCTTTCCTGAAATTTCATTATGAAACATCCTGTAGTGAACTCCTCTCATCTGTGAGAGCCAGGAGGTGACATCAGGTCATGGAACCACCACGGGATGTGTGCACCCTGTTGGCTGAAAGGTCATATGTGATACAGGACCGGACAGGTACTGCATTGTGCCACCCCCCCCCATCCATCTCCAGAAGATCCTCACCCTTCTGAACAGAAATCCTGCCCCGTGAGGCACTGACGACCTCGTCCTGGTTTCTACCTTTCTGTCTTTTTTTTTTTTTTATTTTTAATTTTTTCCCATTAAATTTATTGGTACACTTTCGGTATAAAATACAGTTACATTCATCATTGGGATCTTGTACCATTATATGAGTATCTTGGTTCTTATTTTTTTCCCCTTCCCTTACCCTCCCTTCACCCCTCCACCCTTCCCTATTTGCAAAGACTTTGTTTCCATTCTTTTCCTTTTCTCTTATTTTTTCTTTTCCCTTTTTTCCTTTCCCCTACCCCTCCCACTTCCCCTGCACCTTTAGACCTTTTCTTCCTGTTACAAAATATCAATTATACA